TGTCGCGTAACGACGAAACCGCGTGGGAAAGAGCGTTGAAAGAAAGGGGGAAAACCCGTGTCGTTTCACAGTTTATTTACACGCCCTACCGTTCCACGTGTCCCCTTATCCCTCGCGAACATTATTTCGGGATTTTCCAGAGACACGAGGATGCAGGAATATAAAGCGAATAGATAAATACTTGCCAGCTATTGCTCACGCGTATCGAAACGTGAGAGGAATACAGAGAGAAGATTAAGAGACGGTTACGGTAATGGAAGAAGTTCAGTTTCTATATCTGAGAATCGGTGGAATCTGTTTTTCATCGAGCAAGATTATCGCGGCAAAGAAGCCGATTACTAATTCAACGGTTACACGTGATATCGACGAGGAAAGGAACAGGTCGATTACGAGTGTATCAAAGGTGATTTCCGAAGGTAGTGTGGCAGGTGAGGCGAGTTAATAAATCATCGTCGATTCGTTCGTTTGTCGAGGTTGTTATTTTCCCTGCGAGCTTTTAAGGGGGGGGGGGTGGAAGAGGAAGTGGTAGTTTCATCGAGGGCAAATTGAAAGAAATCGAGCGATAGACGGAAGGGCAAGGCCGGGACGTGTAGGTATTATTTTTCAAATGGCCGTGCTTGCTGCGTGCAGGAATCGTTGTGCATCGATCGTACCGCGGAATTGAGTTACATTATAAATGACATGCACTCGAATCGTTGCCGAGCCGCACACATCACCGTTTACCGCCGATACCTCGCTTTCCATTGTCTCTTTTGTCGCGTCTCGCGGCAGATGGTGTATGGCTGTGTTTACACCGTACGATGCTTTCTAATCGAATCGCCTCCATTCATCCTATCCATGCGTCACCACTTTTAACGTTATCACGACAATTCGACCCCTTTCGCGAATCTCGACGACAACGGGGGGGGGATGGAATGGTAATGTCGTAAGTGTCACGTTCCGGCGAATGTTCGAGGTACGTTCTAAGCGACGCATGGCCCGATTCTGTATCGAACATTGGTGCGGGGTCACGTTGTATGGTAGGTGGAAGCGATGTGGCGAAATGGTAAAATCAGTCGGCCGTGAAAATACACCGATGCGTCGAAATGGTAATTCGTGGAAGATAAGAAGCTCGATTCGGAGTTGGTTCCTCTGTTGTGGTATATTTAACCCTTTGCACTCCAATGGCGCTTTTATGACGACGCGCGTAATTACTTTGGGGAAATGTACAATTCAGACTTTTTTTATATTATTTTATATTATCGAAATAATGCAAATTAACACAAGAAATGCGCATCAATAAATTCGTAAACACTGAAAATCCTTTTTTTCACGACAAAACTTTGGCTTTCCAGAAGTTTCGGAGTGCAAAGGGTTAAAAAGTTTGATTGTGCCTTAAAAGTTTGGATTTCGCATCTTTTCTTACAATTAGAAGTTTTTAAGTAGCTGATATTTTCGAAAGGAATTTTGAGGAAAGTGGTGAGTTACTTTTAACCGTTTTAATTCGTGAAACATGTGTAATGGCGTTTTTGAAGAGAAATTGAACTACAGAATTATAGAGTTTTATAAATTTATTTTGAGACAGATGTGTGAAAATCTTAATAAAGTATTTCCGCGTCATCCGGACTCGTGTCAAAAAATGACGCATATGTGGGTTGTCCGACGCTATTGTGTTAATGGTTGATAAGGATATAATATAAAAGATCGAAGAACCGAGTTCGGGCCTCGTGGACAGTTTTATGACAGAACCCTGTGACAATAATCAGAGCCGAGTTATTCAGAAACATCGATAGAGACTCCGAGAAACTACCGAGAAGCTCACTTGTTCTCTGGAAATACAGTAGAGCAGACTTGAAGCGAGTTTCAACAAAGGTATCGATAGACAATTGCCAATCCATTCACGTATTGAACAAAACAGAGTTATGTAAGAGTATGGTTGAGTGAATGTTGGGACCCGGGCTGGTTTATGACCGAGAGAGGTCTGCGGAGAAACCCGGTCCCAACGCCTTGACACCCCCACGCGCTAAGGGCTGGGCGCTGACTTTGCTGGGTGGAAGAGTTTTCCGGAGGCAAGAGAGGGGCGTCAAGGCTCGTATATAAGGGCGTGTTAAATAAGAATGCGGGAGATTGTATTAGAACGAATTAGGAAGCGCGTAGTTGACAAGGACGAGGAGTCAACGACAGACGGAGAAATAAATATAGTTTTCAACATTATTTTAACTGATCCTGACAGATATTATTTTAGACCAAAAGTTCTTACACTTAGAAATTAAAAATCTCAGTGCATGTTTCTTACGCTAATTTCCACCAATACGGAAATTAGCATCGTTAAGAAGGCACCAAACGATAGCTTACAATCAAAAATTTCACATATCAATTCAGAAATGACAGACGACCCTTATCACTGCTACATCAATCGGTGTCGCCGCTCGATGCTTTAATTTACGACCTCGCTCTAATCATCGATCGGTAACGGAGCAAACTGAACGCTGCTGTCGATATTTGGGGTCATTGTACACGGAGACCAATCGCGATCGAGGCTTATCGGTGCTTCGGATCGAACAGACCTAGATCGTGGTCTACCTTTGCGTCCTACGATGATCTTTCTAAAAGCAAAGCTGTCGATTGTACCCTTCTTACGACGACGGTTTCACAGACGCAACTACGAGATTCCCTTGGTAGAAAGAAACGGAGCAGAATAAACAGGGTAAAGTGTATATAGAGATAGAACGGGGAGAGATGCTTCTTTGGCTGTACCATCTGAAAATCGACAAAAGAAGCATTCACTGTTACGAACAGGAAATGCAGATCGATATTTTAAGAAAAGGCTTAATCCTGTTTATTCAAACCGGATGCCAGCTTGGAGAAATCATCTGGCACAGGCCCTCTCTATACGAATTACCTTGAAACTCTTTTTTAGTACGAGGCTGGGATACGGAGGAGAGCAAACAAGGCTCCCTATAGCGATAAAATTGCATTTACGCAGTTGCAGCAACGAGATGGTGGCCGGTGAACAGGGAAAGGAACGAGACGCACCAGGCGTGACCCCGTGAGGAAACTACGCTGCTCTTCGGCTACTCTTTCCAACGACAAACTTCTGTACCGTCTCGTATATCTGTTTACCAAATTCGTGGATGAAAACCGTCGATCAAACTGAGGAGATGGCATCGTGTGTCAAAGGGGAGGCGAAATTAGAATGCCATGCATGAACAACACGTGAAACGGTGGTAGTTCTCCTCCGCGAAACAACAAAGAGAGAGAGAGAGAGAGAGAGAGAGAGAGAGAACACTTTCTTTTCTACGTTTGATCGACCTACATGCGCATGCCTTCGACCAACAATCACAGCCGATCCATCGAAAAATTCCATCGTCGAAGAACCGTCTTCGTTCGTAACGAAACCTCCGCACCGAAAATAGGATCCGTCTCTTTAAACCGCGTTTTCCTCTCCGCTACAGGCGGGGTACGACCTTCTCCAAAACTAATTTATACACGATAAAACCTTGAATGTCGAACTTTGCTGTTCGATCTAAAATTGATTTACCGCGTAGGTAGAAAAGGGGGTTCGCGTCACCAGCAGCCGCTGTACAGGGGAAAGGGGAATGATTTCACCAACTTTGAAGTCTTAACACCGCAGAAAACTCTGGCTAATGAATAGCGTGGAAACACGCTCGTTTTGCGTATATACACACTGTAACCTATACTCTAACCTAGATCTATGTTCGGTCGTTTTCGTAGCCGCTCAATAGTTGGCGAGATATTAATAAATAGCGAGACGAGTTCCAGCGAGGCTGGTGAGATCGCCTGCTGATGCGGCAGGTTAACTTTGTTGGAAGCGGTCGAGCCGCTCTAACCTGGCATTCCCACTCGGTAATATCTACGAGACGACACGAAGGAGCCTCGAGTGGCTATTCTTCGTTCTTGTTCGCCTTCTCTCGAGGAAACCGCTACTCCACCGAATCTCTTTTTCGCTCCCTTCCTCGCGGCGCGAGCAGTTTAATTCTCCAGTACGTTAAGCAAATGGAAGGAGAGAATATTTTATACTACCGTATAATAACTGATCTGCTATGTGTTTTACGGTGTAAAGAAGTGATTTGAATTGTGATTAAAGGTAGTAAGGTTTTCGTTGAGCTCGATGATCGGTAATTTGCTCGGGGAATGGGGAAATTTTGGGTGATTTTAGATTTTCCAGTACCGTATAGAGCTACTAGTCCGCTATATTTTTTATAGCGTAAAGAAGTGATTAAAAACAGTAATGTTTTCGGTAATTTGCCAAGGGTGGGCAATTATTTGGGCAAGGGTGATTTAATATTTACACTTTCATAGTGTAAAGAAGTGATTAAAATCAGTAGTGCTTTCGTTAAGCTGGAAGATCGGTAATTCGCATAGAGGAGGCGGAAACTTTTATGAATGAATTTACCAGGGATCGATGTATCGTTTATTACGACAACGTGGGTGATTTAATATTTACGCTTTTATAGTGTAAAGAGGTGATTTAAATTGTGCTTACAAATAGTACTGCTTCCGTTAAGCTCGAAGATCGACAATTTGCTAGGAAAATGGGGAAATTTCGATGAATGAATCTAACAAGGACCGTTTATTTCTTCTAACATTTACACTTTCACAGTGTAAAGAAGTGATCTGAATTGCGATTAACCCTCCAAGTCCCACTGGGACTCCAGAGTTCCATGCATTCTAACGACTTCTTATCAACCCTCCAAGTCCAGCGGTGTTTTAATCTTGTCCTACAATTTGCTTCAAGATTAAAATACTCTATACTCGTTAAGAATGCATGAAAATATGAAAATCACGGATTGGTACGGGACTCTGGAATCCCACTCGAACTCCAAGTGTTAAAAATAACAACATTTCCATTCTACTAGTAGAATAGAGAATTTTTGAACAAAAAAAGAAAACAACGGAGGAAAGAG